GTGTTGCAATCTCAAAGCGCATGTCTAGCTTGGACGGATCCACAATGAGCGCATAATTTTTTAAATTCAACGTGGAGTCCGGCAGGGAGATCCGATCTCGCCACTGTTGTTCAACAGTGCCACAAGAGCCATCTTCCAGAAATTACGCGAGGCCTGGGGCGCAAAGAATTTGGGGGCGATCATCGGCTCGCAGGAGGACGGAAGCAGAAGGCTGAGCCACGTGATGTTTGCAGATGACACGATTGTGGCGGCGCGATCAGCAGACGCGCTGCAGCAGATGATTGGAGACGCGATGACGGAGCTGGCAAAGAGAGGTCTGTCGCTGACTGTAGATAAGTGTTTCATCCAGCACAACAGCGCCGATGACCGAGGACATCTTGAAGTGCATGGGCATCAATTTCCCGTCGTATCAGCTACAGCCGGCTTTAAAATTCTCGGCACGCAGTTCACCCTTGCTGGCCGCACTAGCAAGGAGATCTCCTCGCGCATCAAGGCTGGGTGGGCAAAATTTCATCAGTTGTGGCCGCTTCTGAACCCAAGGCGCGGTCTGTTGAGAAAGCGCCTTCGGCTGTTCGATGCCTGCGTATCGAAAAGCGTCCTCTGGCGTTGCGAATCGTGGTTGCCTACCGAGGAGGAGAAAAGACGCCTGCAGTCAACTCAGAACGACATGCTTCGAAGAATTGTGGGCATCAAGCGCCGGCCTCGAGAGCAGTGGGTTTCTTGGATTATTCGCGCCACGCACGTTGCGCGCGATGCTGCTAGTAAGTGCGGGGTGCAATCTTGGGTTCGCACGTTCTTAGGTACAAAATGGCGATGTGCGGGGCACATTGCGAGAATGCCGGCAGACAGGTGGTGCAAAGGGACAGTGGAGTGGCGCGACGCTGAGCGGTGCGCCACGCGAAGTTTGGCGGGGGGGAGGCCGAGGAGACCTCGGCGCACACGCTGGTTCCGCTTGGAGGACGATTTGCGATAATATTCGCTGTTCTGGAAGGACGAAGCCCAGAACAGGGACAGGTGGAAGCAACGCACATCATCATGTACCGCACGCCGTCAACTACACGGTCGCGATTAATAAGGCGGTTTCAAAAAGGTGGTTCAAGAATAGTGGTTTCTTTTAAGGAGGTGGTGTCAGAAGGTGGTTTAAGAAGGGATGGGAGGAGGACCGGGAAGGCGGGCGCTCTCCCACGCGCCACGGCGCACTTTTCCCCAGCCCCCCGCAGGGGCCGCACCGCGTTCGGGGATCCGTATCTGTATCCTCCGGCGCTTCTTCTTTCCACTGTCACCTCCTCGGAAGCCTCTTCCTCCTCCTCCTCCTCCTTTTCCTCCTGCGCTCTGGGGCACGCCCCGGGCCTGACAGCACCGCTGGCCCTGCAGATGCCGAAGTCCGCGCAGCCGTCGGGGAGTGTGTCCCCAGCCCGCTCTGGGCCGTCGTGTGTCTCAGCGGCGGCGGGGGCGCCAGCCACCTGATGCTGCTGCGGCTCGGCCGCGTCGCCGCGGTGGTCCTCAGCCCGCTCTGGGCCGTCTTGGACCTCGGCGGCGGCGGCGGGAGCGCCAGCCACCTCGGGCTGCTGCAGCTCCGCCACGTTGCCGCGGTGGTCCTCGGCCCGCTCCGGGCCGACGCGAACTTCGGCGGCGGCGGGGGCGCCAGCCACCTCGAGCTGCTGCGGCTCCGCCACCTCGCCGCAGTGGTCTTCGGCCCGCTCTGGGCCCTCGCGGGCCTCGGCGGCGGCGGGGGCGCCAGCCACCTGCGGCTCCGCCACCTCGCCGCGGTGGTCCTCGGCCCGCTCTGGGCCGTCGCGGACGTCGGCGGCGGCGGGAGCGCCAGCCACCTCGGGCTGCTGCAGCTCCGCCGCATCGCAGCGGTGGTCGTCGGCCCCCTCCAGGCCGTCGTGGACCTTGGCGGCGGCTAGGGCGCAGGCCATCTGGGCATGCTGCGGCTCCGTCGCGTCGCCGTGGTGGTCTCTGGCCCGCTCCGGGCCGACGCGGACCTTGGCGGCGGCGGGAGCGGAGGCCAAATGGGCATGGTGCGGCTCCGCCACGTCGCCGTGGTGGTCCTCGGCCCGCTTCGGGCCGTCGTGGACCTCGGCGGCGGCGGGGGCGCCAGCCACCTCGGGCTGCTGCAGCTCCGCCACGTCGCCGTGGTGGTCTCTGGCCCGCTCCGGGCCGTCGTGGGCCTCGGCGGCGGCGGGGGCGCCAGCCACCTCGGGCTGCTGCAGCTCCGCCATGTCGCCGTGGTTGTCCTCGGCCCGCCTTGGACCATGGTCGGGCCCCTCGTAGCCCCCAGTGCTGGTGGGAGCGCCAGCCTCCTGAGGCCGCTGCTGCTCCACCCCGTCACTGGGGCGGCCCCCGAGCATGGCCTCGATCCCCGCCACGATCTCGCGCACCGCGAGCCGCTGGTATTGGCCAGGCTCTGCGCCGACATCGCGGCGATGCTCATCATCCTCATCGCAACGCCGCTGGGCATCGTGCTGCTGGTCATCCTGGCCGCACGCGCCGAACTCGCGACAGTTGAGGGGGGGGGTCGTGCAGGTGCTCCACCTCGAACTTCCTCCTCGTCCTCCTCCTCGCTCTCTGCCTTCTTCTTCTTCTCCTCCTCTTGCCCATCGTATTATCGCCGTCTTCGTGGAGGAAGGCCTGACCCCACTGGAGATCCTGGACCCTGGCTTCCCTCCGCTCGTGCACGCACCGCTCCAGCCGGCTGAGGTGTGCGTCGAAGGCGTCGAGCACGGGCTGCTGGGCATTGTCCTTCACCTCCCGGAGCAGCGCGAAGAGCAGGAGCCCGGCATCATAGCCCTCGTCCAGAAGCCGCAGCGCCCCCACATCAGACGGCACCTTGAAGCCTCTGGGTGCGCCGACGGCGGCGCCTCCCGCTGTCGGCGCGCATGCGGGTTCGGCAACACAGCCTCCGTAGAAATGGCCGTCCGAGACGCGCGTGCCGCACAGCTGCCACCCCGCGTTGCTGGGCTCACCAGCGCAGTGCGGGTAGCACCCGCCAGCCCACTTGCCATGCGTGTCCGCAAGCCAGCAGTCGGCGTCGTCGCAGTACATGAAATACTCGCTCGCCCACGCCCGACAGGGCGGAACGCCCGCCGCGCAAGCGCCGCCGGAGCGCGGATGGCAGCCGCGACCTCCCCCAGTCGCAGGCCGCCCTCGCCGCGCCGCCTTTTGCCGGGGCCCGGCCTGTACGGCTGGGCGGCGCGGCCTCGGCGCGGCAGCGCCGAGCTGAGCCCGCTCGGACCTGGGCCGCCTGTCCCTCGCCTCGTGAGAGGTGCGAGGGAGCTCGCGGGGAGAACCCGCGCCCGGCGGCCCAGAGGTGAGCGGGCTCGTGCTATGGCCCCGCCCGCTCACCCTGAAAGGCCTAGGCCCGCTGGGTCTACAAACTTGAGCACAAACGGTTAAGGGCGAGAGAGAGAGAGAGGACAGAAGTGAGGGCTACGCCAGCAGGGCAAAACCCCCTGTTCTAACGAACGACTAAATCACCATTACAATCGCCATCGTCATCGTGAGGGAAACAGCGTGAGGGGCGGGGGAATGGAAATACGGAGGCGGTGACGGGGAGGGTGGGAAGGACTGAGGGAATGGAGGGGAATGGGGATTGGAAAGCGAAGGGAGGGTTGACGGAGGGAGGGAGTTGGGAAATGAGGGGTGAGTGAAGAGATCGGCGGGGTGGGGGGATGGGATGAAGCGGGAGGAGGGAGGGAAAGGGATGAGAGAAGGAGGGGGGGTGGAGGGGGGGGGAGGGAAGGGAAGGACACGGGAAAGGAGTGAAGGGTAATGGTGAGGAGGGCGGGAAGGGGTGGAGGGGCGCTTGGAAGGATGGACAGAGGAGAAGGGGGCGAAGGACGAAGAGAAGGAGGATAATGATGATGGGAACGGAGTGGCGCGGAATGCGGGAGGGACGGGAGGGAGACAATGGACGGGAGAGGGTTTGGGGATGGGATGGGGAGAAAATGAGAGGAACGGGAAGAGGGGAGGGACGAGGCACTCCTTTTGTTTGGCTGTTGCTAGTGTGTTCGGCCGTCGAGACCGATGGACAACAACAAGATGATGGCAGTGAAGAAAAGATCAGGCCCAACTCATAAAACAAAACATTGACGAAACAACAACAACATTCAACGAACAACTACATTATTATATTGTCAAACTACAATTTCGGTTCTCAAATGTTGAATGTCAAAACAACGATGTATGGTTTGTGAGACCCGCTAAGTCGGTCAGGGTCCACATGCTAAGTGGGTTAGGGGTTACGCTAAGTAGTTTAGCGGGGGGTGCTAATTAGGACAGCGCGCCTCGCAGAAGTCTGCTAAATTGGTTACCTAACCCGATTCAAAGCGAGTGCAAGTACATTAGATAATTGAAGTTAGCTAAGACCGCTAAGCAATTCTTAAGTTGCTATATCTCCACGAAGGTGTTAGTAATGCCAGTGAGGCTCCCAGTGAGCTCTCAGAAAAATGTGCGCAACTCGGGCGCGTCTCGCTTAAGACATCCGACCCCCCCACCCCCCACATGTGGCCAACATGTGGCAACAATCTTGGTCACATCAGTGATTTTGGCTTTCTCGCCGAGGCCGTTCTGGACGCTCCAACGACCCGCGACCCTTCCCCTCCAGACCCAGGGGTAGGGGGTATGGGGAGGGGTCAACCCTTCCCCGAAGGGGACGACGGGGGTTGGAAGAGGAGGCCCTCTAAACCACTCACGCCCTAAAGGGCTGGTGGGATTATGAGGGGTCCGCAGCGCTCGCGAACGAATCTTCGCATGACCTCTCTGGGTCACGTCCCGTCTTCCTCCTTCGCCCCTTTCTCCTCATCCTCCTTTCCTCCTCTTCCCACGTCCCCGGGAGGGAGGCATGGGCGGGGGGAGGCGGGGGGAACGGCGGCAATGGAGGCATTGATGGAGGGAGGGGGGCAGGGGGGCGAAAGAGGGGGAGAGTGGGAGCTGGAAGGAGGGCGGGCGGGGGGGGCGGGGGCGGGAGAGGTTTAAGAAGGGGGGGCGGCCCCGAGGGCTGGTGGATGCACGAGCGCTGCATGGACCCGGCAGACTTGCGCGCTTATTTTGGCAGCGAGAAGGACGTTGCGCTGGCGCGGGCAGCTGCAGATCAGGCATGGATGTCTTCCGGGCGGGTATGGATCAGCCCCCCGCGCGACGGGCTATTTTTAGAGGGGGGTGGGAGGTGGAGCCAGAAGAAGCGGGGGAGGGCAGCCTCCCAGAGGTTGAGTAGGATGAGGGATGGTAGGACGAACATGAGCGTAATGTGGAATATGTGGGAGGGCGGCGAGGCTGAGAAAGACGGTCGAAAGATGCAGCACGATGATGAGGAGTATAGCGGAGGTTGGGCACGGTGGAGTTCCCAAGAAGAGGATTCCATACGTTGTAGTAAGTATGAAGAGGATGACGGAGAACTTGAGGATGTCCAAGCCAGAGGGCGAGAGGGAGCGGGACGATGAAGGTGGTGGAGGGGGGGAGAAGGCACACGGGGAATGAGAACGATAGCGGTGACCTTCCGAGCTTGAGGGGGAGACGGAATATAATATGTATGATCAGGAGGATGAGGAGACTTGAGCAGATGAGCAGTAAGAGAGGGGAGGTGGAGCTGTATTTCGTACGATGAAGGGTAAGAGGATGTTTGGGATAGCGCTGTCACAGAATTTGTCATTGGATTTCGAGGAGACGCAATGTAATGAGTCCACTGGTGGCGGCGATGACGATCTAGGTCGCAATGATCGTCATGGGGAGGTATTGAGAGCACGCGATGCGTATCATGAGGTGCCGAAGGATGAGGATGAGACGAACGAGCAGGATGAAGAGTTCGATGAGGGGTGGGATTTAGTAGTACGTGTGAGGATGAGCGTCGCTGTCACGTATTATTGCTACTATTGTTGTTGTTATCGAATGTGGACGCTTTTTGATGGCTCTTCAGCAGCAGTTTGGCGCTCGATGGGGTCTCGTTCGCTTGTCTTGAGACCTCTTTGGGCCTCTTGGCGGCGTTCCTCCTGGGGTCGTCTTGAGGCTCCCTTGGGGCCCTCTCGGCGCTCTCTTTCGGGTAGTCTTTCCCGGCGGAGCCGGGTGAAATTCCGTACCCGCCGGCTGACTGATGACTGACTGAACGTCAGGGGACAGCTCGGGAGACACATTTCAAACCGCCCGCGGGAGCGCAACCCGGCGGCGCAACCGCAAGACCGCGACACATTTCAAAGCGCCCGCGGCGCGCAACCGCAACCGCAACCGGGCGACACATTTCAAAGCGCCCGCGGGAGCGCGCAACCGCAACCGCAACCGCAACCGGGCGACACATTTCAAAGCGCCCGCGGGCGCGCAACCGCAACCGCAACCGGGCGACACATTTCAAAGCGCCCGCGGGAGCGCGCAACCGCAACCGCAACCGCGACACATTTCAAAGCGCCCGCGGGAGCGCGCAACCGCAACCGCGCAACCGGGCGACACATTTCAAAGCGCCCGCGGGAGCGCGCAACCGCAACCGCAACCGGGCGACACATTTCAAAGCGCCCGCCGCGCAACCGCAACCGCGCAAAGCGCCCGCGGGCGCGCAACCGCACCGCAACGGGCGACACATTTCGGGAGCGCGCAACCGCCGCAACCGCAACCGCAAGCGCGCAACCGACACCGCATTTCAAAGCGCCCGCGGCGCAACCGCAACCGCAACCGCAACCGGCGACACATTTCAAAGCGCCCGCGGGAGCGCGCAACCGCAACCGCAACCGCAACCGGGCGACACATTTCAAAGCGCCCGCGGGCGCGCAACCGCAACCGCAACCGGGCGACACATTTCAAAGCGCCCGCGGGAGCGCGCAACCGCAACCGCAACCGCAACCGCAACCGCAACCGGGCGACACATTTCAAAGCGCCCGCGGGGCGCGCAACCGCAAGCGCAACCGGGCGACACATTTCAAAGCGCCCGCGGGAGCGCGCAACCGCAACCGCAACCGCAACCGGGCGACACATTTCAAAGCGCCCGCGGGAGCGCGGCAACCGCAACCGCAACCGGGCGACACATTTCAAAGCGCCCGCGGGAGCGCGCAACCGCAACCGCAACCGCAACCGGGCGACACATTTCAAAGCGCCCGCGGCGCGCGCAACCGCAACCCCGGGCGACACATTTCAAAGCGCCCGCGGGAGCGCGCAACCGCAACCGCAACCGCAACCGGGCGACACATTTCAAAGCGCCCGCGGGCGCGCAACCGCAACCGGGCGACACATTTCAAAGCGCCCGCGGGAGCGCGCAACCGCAACCGCAACCGCAACCGGGCGACACATTTCAAAGCGCCCGCGGGCGCGCAACCGCAACCGCAACCGGGCGACACATTTCAAAGCGCCCGCGGGAGCGCGCAACCGCAACGCAACCGGGCGACACATTTCAAAGCGCCCGCGGGGCGCGCAACCGCAACCGCAACCGGGCGACACATTTCAAAGCGCCCGCGGGAGCGCGCAACCGCAACCGCAACCGCAACCGGGCGACACATTTCAAAGCGCCCGCGGGAGCGCGCAACCGCAACCGCAACCCGGCGACACATTTCAAAGCGCCCGCGGAGGGCTAGGGCGAGTGCGAGGACGAGGATGGCGAGGAGGAAGGAAGTGGAGGGGGAGGAGGAGGAGGATGGTGAGGAGGGGGAGGAGGACAATGAGGAAGAGGAGACGGATGCCGAGGAGGAGGAGGAGGAGGACAATTAGGGGGTGGAAATGGATGCCGAGGAGGAGGGGGACGACGACGACGACGACGACGACCAGGACGACGACGACGACCAGGACGACGACGACGACGACGAGGGCGAGGAGGAAGACTGAGCAACAGCAGGGGGATGGGCTGGGGGGGGCAGGGGGCGGGGGACGACAAGGAGAAGAAGGAGGAACCACTGGCGGAGGGCCCGACGACGAGCCCCCGCGTTGCCCGCGGTTCTCCGCCGGGACACTGCGGCGGGGAATCCCTATTCCAAGCTGCTGCCTTAGACTGTTGTCTCTTAGGGGCCTCTTCGGCCTTTGGGAGTCATTCGTGGGCAACAGGGAGTGGCGGATTAAAGACACCTACGGCGAGCCACCGCCCCCCCCCGAGCATTTTGGGAGACACCCGTGTGACTAAATGTTGGGCGACATTTTGGCCACGCCACGACTGTTCTGTATTCCTGTTTCAAAGCAGCGCTCAGACGGGCCCGCTTATGCAGTACTGGTGATGTATTGGGGCTCTTTTGGAGGATCTTCGGGGGCCCTATTGGCGTTCGTGAAGGCCTCACTGGGTTTTCTTGGGTCGTCTTGGGGCCCTCTTCGACCGTCTTGGGGTCCTCTTGGTATCCTTTCGGGCAGTCTTGGGGCGATTTGGGCGTCTCCTGGGCCGTCTTGGGCGCCCAGAAACCCGAAAAGGCTAGCCTTGTGAGACAACGAAGACAACGAACTGCTTTTGTTGAGACTGGTCTCTTGGGGGCATCTTCGGAGTCCTACTGGGGCCCTGCTGGGGCGTCCTGGCCTCTAGAGCCGCTTCACAGCAGTGATGGGCTGTCTTGCAGCCGCAAAGGGCAGTGTTGGGCCATCTTGGGCCGCTCGGACAACGCCGCCGGGCCCACGGAACACTGCGGTTAACGGGGCCCGAGGCCCGCCCGGGGCCCAACGGTGGCGCCGGGTGCTGCCATCGATGCAAATCTTGACGCGTCGCGTATCCCCGCCAGCCGGCGTCGCGTAGCTCAAGCTGGCTCAAGCCGTCTCGGCTCGAGCCCGCCCCTGGTTCAGGTGCGGCGCCCGGGCCGCGCGCATGTCCGCCCCCGGCGCGGCGCTGTCCGGCGCTGCCTTGCGCCGGCGCCAGCGGCTGGCGGCGGCCGCCCGCTGGGCCCCGCCCGGCCTGGCCCCGGCGGCCGGTCCTGCCTCTCGCTTTCGCCCTGAGGCCGGCACGCCGGCGGCGGTTGGCGACGGCGGCCCCGCCGGCGCGGCCTGCCCTTGTCCGGCCGGGGCCCGGCCCGTGGCCGCTGCCGCCCCCGGCGGCCAGGCGGCGGCGGCGGCCGGCGGCGGTCTTCCTCCTTCTGGTCCTCTGGCCGCCGCTGCTCCGGCTGCTGCCGCCGCGGCCGCCTCCCGCGGGCCGCTGGCGGCGGCGGCCTCGGCCGGCCTCGAGGCCGCTGCTCTCGCTGCCGCCCTGGGCGGTGGGGCCTTCTTGGCGGCGGCCGCCGCTGCTGCCGCTGCTGCCGCGACTGGCGCTTCGCCGGCGGCGGCGGCCGCCGGCGGCCTGCGGGCTGGCCTTGCTTCGGCTGGCCCGGCGCTGGGCGGGGTTGGGGGCCCGGCCCTGGCTGCCGCGGCCGCCGCTGCTGCTGCTGCCGCCGCTGCCGCTGCTGGCGCCTCGCCGGCGGTGGCGGCGGCGGACGGTGTGCTGGCCGGCGGTTCCGCCGCCGCTGCCGCTGCTGCCGCTGCCACCGGCCCTGCGGCGGCGGCGGCGGCGGACGGCGCGCGGGCGGGGGCTCCCGCGGGGCTGGACCTGGCGTGGCGGACGGCGGACGGCGCGCTGGCCGGCGGCACCGCCGCCACTGCCGCTGCTGCCGCTGCCACCGGCGCCCCGCCGGCGGACGTGGATGCAGCCGTGAGCTGCCAACCTGGAGTGTCCCTTGTGGATGGCGGCGAAGGGGTCCCCGCCGGGCGCACACCTGGCGGTCTCCTGGCTCCTGGACTCAGAGATGGGGTCGAGAGCTCCGGGGTCCTGGGTGTTGGGATGGGGTCGAGAGCTCAGGGGCTCGATGACGCTTCGGTTGTGGGTCCTGGGAGATACGACGGCGCGTGCTTCTCTGGAGTTCCTTCCACCGCCGGCGCAGCCGTTAGCTGCCAACCTGGAGTCACTTCAGACGACGGCACGTGCTTCCCTGTGGCTTCTTCCACCGCCGGTGCAGCCGTTAGCTGCCACACACCTGGCAGGCTCAGGGGTCCTGGACGCGGCGATGGGGTCGAGAGCTCTGGGGTCCAGGGCGTTGGGATGGGGTCGAGAGCTCAGTGGTCCAGGGACGTCGCGGACGTGCATCCTGGGAGGGGCGGTGTTTCGTGCATCAGAGACAGGCAGACAGGCGTTCCTACAGCTCCTCTTTCCTATCAGCGTCAAGCGGTTGGGGCTCAACCTGTG